AGACCTGGTACGTTCGCTCTGTGCTTTGTTTCCGTGTATAGATACAGCTTTCCAACCTCTAAATAGTTGTGTAAATATTAGAATCATTGCATTTCATGAGCAAAAATATCAAAGATCTTTTTCTCTTCTGTTGAGGTGATTCCGGCTAAAAGATCAAACCTTTGCTGAAGAAAACGCTCGAGACGTTCAGCTTCCACCTTGTATAAAGCAAATACCAAAACCCTGTTCCTGTAAGCACCAAAACACTTGATATTAGTATGTTGAAAAAGGAAAGATCTGGTAAGGGTTCGATAATTAAGTAGCAAATTTACTTTTGAGATTTATGGTATTTTTCTAGTAAAGCAACTAGACGCTGATCACGCGCACGTTCGTCCAAGACCTGCATTTGTAACCAAACCAAAGACCTGTTGTTAAAGAATATCAAATAAAGGACAACACTACTTGCTTTGAGGATGATCTGAGAGAACGTACCTCAATGATTTGCATAACGTCGTGGTTGGCAGCTAAGTCTACGGAACCTATGACTACCTGAAAGAAATTTGAATGATCGTCGGGAAATTTAAGCAATTTTCAGGTGAGGAAAGACAAATTGAGGAAGGGAACAATACTTTGATTGGATTTGGATCCATGAATTCCTGAGCCAATTTGTGAACATCCAAAGGCCAAGTTGCACTGAACATAACCATCTGACGAACTATAAGACAGATAAGAAAGAAGATAAGTTTTCATTATAATTCAGCACATGAATCAAACTTGGTTTCTCACAAGAATGCTAAGTGAAATGTGACAACCACTTGCCTTTATTTGTCTTGCTCAAAATAAACCGGACAGGTTCCTCGAAACCCATATCAAGCATTCGATCTGCTTCATCCAATACCTGACATGTAGGAACTTCTGTTACCATCTCATAACTCGAAAATTCGATTCAAGTTGTTTCATTATACCAACAAAAAAACGATGCAAAGACTATGATCCTAAGGGGACAAGTCAAATAACATTAATAAAAGATGATCTGTTGCTTACCACAAAGGAAACATCCGAGAGACGAAGCTCGTTAGACTCAATCAAGTCTCTCAAACGACCAGGCGTACCAATGACAATATCCTAACATACAAGATCAAGTAAAACATTACTCAACTGATCCGAAAACATAAGAGAATGTCCTGATTAAAGAACATAATAAGAAATCTTACAACTCCAGATCGAATAGCATTTATTTGAGGCCTTTTCGAGCTTCCACCATACACACAAATCGATTTCAAACCACAAGGTTCTCCAGCTTCACTCAAAACATCAGAAATCTACCAATCCACCAAAACAAACATAACACTAAGAAATTCAACCAAATGTTTCGTTTCACATTGTAATCATAATGATCAAAACCGATAAATACATATACCTGAACAGCCAATTCTCGTGTAGGAGAAAGAACCAAACAAGTAGGATTAACATTCTTTGATCCTCCACCAAGCTTCTTATTCTTCTTCAACACATGCATAATCGCAGGAATCCCAAAAGCCAATGTCTTACCTAAAATTCACACAAAACTCAAAAAGTTTCAATTTTTCAACCAAAGTTCAAAACTTTAACACTCCCCAAAACATTACTAACCTGACCCAGTTTTCGCAATCCCGATAAGATCACGACCATCTAGCAAAAACGGCCATGTATGTGACTGAATCGGAGACGGTTTCTCGAAAGTCTTACAACAATCTAAAACATTCTCAGGCAAATTCGATTCAGCAAAAGTCTTCAAAGGTGCGTACTTTGCTTCTTCCACATCTTTCCCAGTCACAACAACCTTCTGTTGCTCACTCTCTCCTCCATTGGTAACACTTAAATCCTCAGCTTCTAGCTTCTTCTCCGGGACATCCTTCTTCTTATTCTTCTCAATCTCTTTCTCCTCTCTCTTACGTTTCTTCTTCTTCTCTTTATTACTCAACTCTTCCTCAACACCATTCGTGACCTCTTGAGGCACTTCGACTTCATGAATTTCCTCTGTGTGTTTGTTCTTCTTGCTCTTCTTCTTCTTCTTATTGGTCATCGGACTCTCGACGGCTAAAGGTTCGCCGGAGATGGGAAGCTCTTGGAATTTTCCAGCCATTTCTTTGTTTCGTTTAGAGGAGAGAGTTGATGAAACGGCCGAACGAGAGTCGTTGTTCAATTTAGGTTTTTAGGGTTTTAAAGCATTGCAAAAGATATTTTCTAATATTGCAATTTTGCCTAACTATTTTTAGTTATTACCTAAAATGTCTAAACTTCTGCTTTGTTAAAGTAAAACCCAAATTAGTTTGCAAAAAAAAAACAAGGGTGAATTTGCTCAGAGACGTTATTGGGAAAAATATTTAAGAAAACAACATTAGTAAGCATGGTCAGAGACGACGTTAAAAAACGGTTGCAATGGGGCTTGAAGTTGGCAATATTTACGAGAATACCAGTCTTTGCTTACGTCATGCGCGTGGATGAGAGAATAAACGAAAGAACATTCTGACACAACTTAAATGCTCAACAGTTGAATTGACATTCGCGTAGATATCTATTAATAAATATAGCACTTATAATTCGATATATGACTATGAAAATATATGAACATATATCTAAATTTATAGATAAATATTAATTTATTAACTAATTGAAATTTTTTGATGAAATTTGATTTTTATAGCGTTATTAACATTTATATACATGTAACAACGTATATAGAGAATTATAAATATATATTTTTGAAAATATTTAAATATAGATCAACAAATTTTTTTGGACATCCATGCAAAGATCTATAACGCAAAAATGCAGATCTAACTGAACCCATGAAGAAATGTAAAGGAATTTAGATAAATAAATTATCAGAATTTTTGGGTACGGTGGGTTAAATAGCATATACGAGAGAGTGATTGTTAATTCTCCGGCGCCGCGAAGTGAATAACATACACGACAAATAGTTACATCGGAATGATGAAGAGGAATTGAACAATGGTGTTAGAGAAAGATGATAAGACTAAGGAAAACAATGAACAAGCGAGGTAAATGGACATCCAAGAATTAAGAAATAATAATGAAAACAATAATACATGTGCATAAGCGAATGGGGTTAAAATTGGACAAAAAAGAGACTAAAATTAGTGTTGTTCTGGACCTTGTGTCAGTTTACCAAAAACTAAATAGCTCCTCCAATAACGTTTCTCATCCAATTATCTCAAAAAACAATCATGAGGAAGGATAGATAGCAACAATGAAGATACAATATTCGTGAGTAAGTTAAGAACTAAATAGAAATTAAACTCTGGGAATAACAAAGAGGAAGTCCGATAGATTTGGCAACGAAAACTAAATCATAAGAATTGGTTTCAGGATTGTGTAAAACGAGATGTTGCTTATGCATATTATACCCACAATCATATTTTTTGGATTATCATGGGGAGTGCCATGTATTTGGATTGAATTTAACCAATGTGTCAGGTTAAGATAACATCTTTTTCATACTTTTTTTCTAAAACTAATGCTAGGATTCAAAATCTGCCGAATAACTATGTTATGATTTTCTATATCCTACATATTCCCGTTCCGTCATCTGCTTTAATTCTTCATGTAGCATTCAGATCGAATGACTCATTCAACCATTCGAATTTATTGTATGTCTTTATGTTCTTCCAGTTCCATCATCTGGAGAGTTCTGTTGAATGGTTTCTTGCACAAGATATAGAGAATCATGAAGAAGATAGACAAGAAAATGTAGTACTTACCAGGAGTTTTGTTTTTCTTTTCTCTTATTCTTATTGTTTCTTTATTTGAATGAGGTTTGAGTTGCACCGTGCCATGAAAAAAAAAAAAGAAAAAAAAAACAAAATTATCTTTACTCTCAACATTTATTAAAATAACGCCACTAGTTTATTACAGACAGTTATGATTCTAATCTTCAATTAGACACACAAAAAAATGAGTCCGAGGCTGGTTTGCCACTAATTGGAGAAAATGAATCCGGCATGCCATTTTGTGATCTGAATGCCACTGTAAATGTGATATTTACCCTTAATGAAATAAGAGACGATTGGTACAACTAAGAGATAATAGTACAACTGGTACAATTAAGAGATAATATGAAAACTGATACAAATAGTATAACTGTGAGATAATTGGACAACTGGTACAAATGGTATTACTAAAAGATAATAGTACAATTGATACAATTGGTATAACTGACATATAAATAGGTACAACTGGTACAAATAGTTAGGTACAATGGTACAAATAGTTAGGTACAACTGGTACAAATAAGTAGGTACAACTGAAACGAAGCAATTGTAATTCTAAACCCTAGCGCCGTCACACTTACTAATTCGCCTCTTCTTGCTTTCTTCATCGTCGTCGTCGCCGATTATCCGCCGTCAACCTTCTTTGTCGAAGTTTGTGAACCGTTTTTCTCACCAAACGATTGCGCACTTCAAAGGACGAAAGCACGGAGAGATATCCATGGAGAAGAAACATGAAGAGAGATCCATGATTAGTGAATCTAAGAAATCCATGGAGAAGAAACATGAAGAAAGATTCAATCTATGAAGAAACGCAAAGAGAGATCTATGGAGAAGATAGATCTAAAGTTTCATTGATGATGATGATGATGGAGAAGAAGAGATATAAAATGAAAGATCCAAAAAAAAAATCTAGAAAAAATGAAAGAAGAAGAAGAAGAAGAAGAAGCGTGAAAGAAGAAGAGGAGTGAAAAAAGAAGAAGCGTGAAAGAAGAAGAGGAGGGAGTGGCAGGGATACGTAATTATCAAATTAGGGTAAGGGTTTTTGGTCCTTTTGTATTTATTTGATTTAAATTCTTTTATTTTTATTATTCTAAAAAATTGGGTGGCTTTCTAGCCTTTTTATTTCCACATAGTGGCATTCTAGGCATTGTTTCCAAAAAAATACATTCATTAGAATAATGATAATTAGATTTTCCAAATCCAAGAAAAAAAACTGAAGAAGGACAACAAAAAGTAAACGAATCAGAGTGTACAAGGCATTAAGTAAGAATCTGCTTAAGCTATAAGCAAATCAAAAGCAAAGCTTTAAACAAACCAAAAAGCATTTATCATCCATTCATTCACCAAGTTCCTTTGAAGATATAAAGCAACGTTCTTTTTAAGTGGTTGAAGATAAATTTCTCTTTTGTTTCTTCGTCTTCTTCATCTATAATTAAACTCTTGGGCTCACACAAAGTCAAGAATCAAAATCAAGATTTCAGATTCAATGGTTGGTATATTTTCAAGATTCTCTGTTGGTAGAAGCAGCCATCGACGAACACAAAGTGCAATCGTAAGCTCTCTTTTTCCTCTTTTACAACTTCTGGGTTCGATTAAACTTTCAATTTAGATTCGATTCTTATGAAAGTTCAATCTATGGAACATGTTTAGATCTTTATTTGGTTCAAAACAGTGGAAAAATCTCTCCTTTAGCTCGGATTTGAAATACCCAGATTAGATTCTACAGTACTGTTCATGATATACTCGAAATCATTTACCTTCAATTCCAGATTCAACCAATGGATGATAGATTCTGCCTTAAAAGCTTTGGCCTTTTTCAATTGTATGAATTGAGTTTTGTTAGATTAATCTGAGTTATTGAAATTGTCTCATTCTCTTTTGATCAGGATGATAAGGAAGTATTGGCTCCAAATTCTGATGTTGCTGCAGCAACTACCACAACTGCAACAACTGCTACTCATGGGATTGAAGTAGCTACAGAATTTAAACCGGTGGAACATCCGGTCGAGCCTTTGGATAACCATTTACCGATTCAGTGTCCATTGCCTGAACCATCCATTCTTAATGTAACATTCATGAACATATGGTTTTTTGTTGATTCTAAGCTCTTAGTTTTGAGTTTGTAAACGTTTTTGGGAATTCCATGAAACAGGATGGAAGAATCTGGAAGGAGAGAGTATCGGCGTCTATGATGAGAAAAGGTGATTTGCAAACTGCGAAAGATGAGGCTGCTTCTGAGTCTGATGGATCCGCACCAAAACCGCCTCGCCCGCCTCAGCCAAATCGTTCGATCTTGCCATCACTTAGTGCCCCTGAACACAACTTGCTAAATCTACTAGAAGAATGCAGTACGATGCCGCCGGTAACATCTAAGAATGGATGAACAAAGTTCCTTAAACTCTATATAGTTTATAAGATATTATCACACCGATACAAGCTTGTTCCTCAAAACAACTCTTGAATCTTTGTTTTTCGTTGTTAATGATTTTACTTATGTGTGTGCCAGAACAAATCCAAATCATAGTGTATGTTATATATATTATATAGGAAACTAAGGTTCATTAAGCTTATGCTTTATATATCTCAACACCGATATTCTACAATGGAAGTCTTTTCTTTTTCACTCTCATTCAACTATTTCCAAGCTGTACTTCTTCATCATTTTCGCAGATTTAGAAAAGCGGTAGAGCCAGCGTTGTCTAAGCGGTAAACAGAGAACTTTAAACACTTTAACTGATCTTGATCCATGGTTTTACTTTTTATAGGATTTTTGCCCTTTAGGCTTTAACTTTTGCAGGGTATTGTGCATTGAGTTCTCCTCAAGTAAATTTCACTATCGGCATTATATGGGAAGAGAGAAAAGTACTTTTTAAACTCAAAGAAACTTTGTTTCTCCACTTTGGTTTTTACTTCAACATGAAGAAATTACATAGAATCTTTATTCCTTCTACAATTGCTTGGAACAATCTTGTATAATCCAAATCTTTCATTCAAACTGAAGATTCAGGAACTGTGTAAACATCTGCCACTGTGGGATTCACTAGATGTTTTCGTGGCCCACGATAGCTCCCGTGGTTAATCCTTGCTCTTTGATGCAATCCTCCAGCCTGATTTCCTTCTGTGGCTTCACGGTCCATCGCATAATTGACTTGAGTTCTTGTAGAATCTGCAGAAACCAGAACAAGGTGAAAGGTCAAGAGAACAACAAGAAGAAGAGTTGTGAAAGAAGATGAGAGCTTCAAGTGACCCATTATTACTCTTTCTTTTTTACTAAAATTGGGAAATATGGGTTTGAGAGAGTTGAAATGATGACTATAAATAGAATTCAAAAAGAAAGAAGAAAAGGAGATAAGATGGAAATTAAAAACCTTTGCTTTGAATTGAAGTTACTCTCATGACTCACATGATAGTGTTTGTATATTTCACCTACTCTTGCTAATTTTAAAATATATACATATCATATTATTCTTTGTCCAAAAAGATCACAACAATTCACTGATTATCTATTGATCTATCATCTTAAAATATTGGATATGTTTTATTCTCTAGACAAATAATTAATCTCTCTACTAGCTTTTATTAATAACTTTTTCTTAAATCTTCATGTGCATTGTGTACAAAACCTTCTCATTTAAATAAAAAATTTCTACGAACAAATAAACCAAATTTAACACAAAGATTACAAATAATTTTATTTTTCTTCTTCACACATTAATTATCTCTCTACTTAAAGTTAAAAATAACAAAAAATCATTAATCAAGAGTTTCTCCGGGAGATAGAAATCTTTCACTCTTCCGGTCTATATGGGGACGAACTCATATCCGTACTATAAAAGGAATCTTCTCCACCACCATTTAAGTAACTCTCTTCCTTCTCTTCATCCCATTTCAAAACCTCTCTCACATACTTAAACCCTTCATCCACATTCGCGCGGTCCCTAGCCCGAGCTTGCCACACAAACAGTTTCTGACCCGTGATAGACGAGTAAAGAAGCTTGAACTTCATTGCTACGTAGAAGTAAGCTTGGTAAGCTAGTGACTGCACGTTGTTGTTTGTTCTCACAGGGCAGAAATCGCTGAACCAGTCGCAAGATGTTAACGGTGCACGGTTTAGCTTTTCCTCGAACTGGTCGTATTTGTTTAGGATCAAGATAAAAGGCGTGTCTTTGAAACACGGGTGCTTGACCATTGATTCGAAAAGTTCTTTGCTTTGGATCATTTTGTTCTGAAACTGGACTGTTCCGCTGCTTTCGGGTGTTATGCTGATCTGATCGTAATCGCTTAAGCTGATGCAGAAGATGACTGCTCGTACATCTTCAAACATTTCTACCCATTTGCAGCTATCGTTCATCCCCTTTGCGTTTACGCGGATTAGCTGGTACCTGCAACAGAAAGGATTGATGATAATAAGTACCAATGTTTGCGGTTCAAGATTGCGGAAATCGAGTGTTAACCGATATGTACTTTGGCTGAGGAGATGATAAAGCGTCGGGGTTTTCGGGGTAAGATTCAGACATTGGACTGTGTTCACTAAGAGAAAATTCCATGAAAGCTAATCCATTTCCTTGTGTAACGCCTTCTGCGTATACGATATCTCGCTCCGAAGGCTCATACTCGTTGCTCGATACTTCCATGGCCTGAAAATGAAGCCCATGTTAACATTTGAATCAATATGGTAACGATAATACCAGGACCTAAACCCGAGTTCCATCCATACCCGGCTCAAGAAATATTCCGCGACATCAGGAAGGAAATGCAGCTCATCTTTTCGTCTATATGTTGCTTGTATCGCCGGATCTTTCCAAACTTCTTCAACCAATGGAGCATATTCACGTGTTGCAGCTGGGAAAAACGCATCGAGATCACCAGTTGCTATGATATCTAGAAGCCAATCCGAAAAATGCTTCAACCTCGGGTTCAAGGTATAGACGCATTGTGGTGTAGTGACAGTTCCATCGTCGTTTGTTTCCTCGCCTGCAAGAACATTTCAAGGAAACAAGAAACTCATTTATGAAAGCCAAATTTAATCGTTTTGTAATGGGAAAATGGTACCTCCCGAATCTCCTTCAACGGCGTTTAAACCTCTTGTATGCGATAAAGCTTCCTCTTCAAACCGTTCTCTTCCATCGAGTAGGATACTGAGATATCTATACATATTGCTCTGTACCATCAGCTTTATATCTTGAAGCTCTTCCACTGAAAACTTGTTTCCGTACAAAAACTTGGCCTGTTTCAGTCAACAAGAAATCTCGATAAGCAACGATTGAAACCGCAGAGTTATCTCTTTATTTTTCCCACATTACATCCATTAAACATTACCTGTTTGAAGATAGTGCTAGTTCCAGACCCTTCGATACCAAGAAGTAGAAGCTTCTGAATCTTCTTATGCTCTATATAATTCGGAACAGTAACATAATTACTCGGTGGTTGCACCGTTCCGCGAGGTTGTCCTTGAGGAACAGGTAAAGAAAACAGCGCACACATAAACCTCGTAGATGCCTGTTAAACAAAACAAAAAAAACTCGTGATATTTCTTAAAACAGCCACATATTATAAGGATCTGATGAAGAGTTATTATATTTACCTTCTCCCAAATGTTTCCTCGAATATTATTCTGCCCTTCTTCCTCATAACGCCCATCGTCGTATACCCAAAAATGAGTATCACGTGGACACTGTACATTTGCTAGCTGAAAAATATCCACACAAACAAGGTTTATATTCGATTGTTTCTTGACATGTGACACTTAAAACAAGACAATGTCAAACGTTACCTTCAAAATCCTTAATTCAAGCTTTGTGATCTCCCGACCGTTAATATAAACTTCCGTGTTCCCATTGCTTGCTTCCGGGGACAGTTTCCCCGTGAAGTTCAAGTTTGAGCTAATGACTCTATCTGGTTTCTCTCCTTCCTGTTCACAACAACATTAGCCAATAAACAACAAACAAAGCAATTTCAACCTGAAACAAGTACCAAAACCATTACATATATATATATAGTATATTACCTTGCCCCATAGACCAGATTCTTTGTCGTACCAATATCTACCGGGTTTCAACTTCTGAGGGGGTAAAAGACAGTTGAGCAACTCAGCCATTTCCTCGGGCTTTAACGGGTACCCATTCACAATCAACTGCTCAGGTCTCAGCTGATTAGCAGTACATTCTTTTTCCGCCTTCATGATCTGTTTAACTTCTAAAGGACTAAGCAACCGCGACAATACCCGCGAATGCTTCCCTAATTTAGACCGTTTCGATTCATCAATAGCTTGACCAATACAACTCACACATTTTCTTCCTTCAGGCATCGAACCCATCGCTCTAAGCACACAGTTTCCACAATACTTTTCATCACAAACAATACAAGTCTCCTTATTTTCCCATTTCGCTTTTCCACATCTAGAACACTCTCTCTTCTTATTCTTCTTCCTTCTCTTCGTACTTGCGGTACACTCATGGACCTTCCTCTCCCTCTCTGTCTCTGCCTCCACATTGTTCTCCTCCTCTGCAGCTTCTCTACCTTCAATCCGATCATGATCATCAACAGGTTTGAATTTCACAACCGGTCTACGAATCTGATTCCCATTTTGTCTATGACCAGAAACTGGTGATACAGAAGCTGAGCCAGATGATGATTCAGGGTTATTATGCAACACAGAGACTACAGACTCAGAGCTAGCTGGCGAACCTCCCGAAGAGCTTGTGACTCCTCCCGCTATACGAGAAACCGGTAATGGAATCGGATTGTTCACACGAGGATTAACATCAACAGGTGAAACTCTAGGGATATCATGAACCGGAGGAGGACCAGTGTACTCTAAAGCAATGGAGTAATCAAATTCCGATGGATCTTCCGGTAAAGGAGCTCCAGGAGGAAGCATCTTTCTCACCATTTCTTTCCAGCTTTCACCTTCATCTTTCTTCTCCATGTTTTTACAAAATCCAAAATCAAAAGAGCCACCACCAATAACAATTTACAAGATGAAACCCAAAAAAACACAAATCACATCACCATTCCTCTGATTTAAGACAAAACAAAGTTCCTGGTTCAGACACAGAGACAATAAAAACAATAAGAGTTAGATTAGGATATTATATGTGTTAACAAATTGGCTTTGTCATATCAATAAAATCAAAGTCAAATAGCCGGCGAGCATTGAAACCTAAAATGGAAAAACTTTTTAAATGACATTTTGACAAATTCATAGTCAAATCAATTGTCCACGAAAAAAATAATTCAACATCTAACCAAACCCACTTAAAAAAAATTCAGCTTTGAACGCAGCCTATAGAGAAGAAAACAAAAAGAAAAAAAAAACCTAAACTGGTAAATTATTCTGAATCCACTACCAAATCGAATTTGATAAGAATACATGCAGCAAAATTTCAGATCATGATTGTTGATAGATTAAGCAAATTCATTGAAATTTCAAAGAGAATGAAACCAAAAAATGAGCTGTCTCTGAAGGAAGCCACCAATTAAAGCAACAGAACAAAATAAATCTTTTGTAAAAGAAGAAAGATGAAAAATCTTACCTTTTGTATAAAAGTGAAGAAACATGGGTAGAGAGAGATAGAGAAACAAAAA